TTTTTTTTTTTTTTTTTTTTTTTTTTTTACTTACTCCTGCTTTGGTGAAGTTATTTAGATGGTTTCAAACCCAGACTTCAACCATCCTCTCCATGACCCTACTTTGGATTAAGACAATTAGCTTTCTTCTTCTCTGCAGATGGCCTCATATCATTTGTCTGTATTAGTGTCTCTAGGGCCCCTTTTCCAGTCATGCCCTCATCCTTCTTGCAGATTGGCTAGTGAGTTATCACACCACCATCTGCTGGCTGGTGCCATTTACTTGACATCATGGGGTTACAGCACTCTGGAGGGCATCCACTGTCCTTGAAAGGAAAAAACCCTGCAGAATGAGGGTTTAATAGGCCCCCTATCTTACCAAAAGTTCAGTGGTATTCCAGAATTTTCAAGGTTTCAATGTCGTCATAATATAAGCCCACTACTCAGAATAATTCAGAAAGTATGAGTAATAATGAATTTAATCATTCAGGTAAAGCAGCCTAGTCATAGTCAAGAAGGCAGCTAGTGTCAAACTCTTTTCTGAATATTTACAGAAGGATCAACATATTCATAATGACATTCTGCCTCTGGAGAGTCCCCGGTTTGTCAACTATTAATAACTGGGTGAATACTTCAGGTAATATTTAAACAAATCATGCTACATAGCTGGCATTCCCCCATGCAGGAAATGCAGTCAAGTACTGGTAATGACAGATGACTCTACAATGATTTCCTCCTGCCACTGCCATTCTGTAAACAGGAAAGGAGGGAGGAGCGGCTGGGCGACTCACTTTACTTCTCTTGCATTTAAGTGTAATTTAAGGGAATAGAGCTTTCTAATGACCTGCGTGTCAGTCTGCTGGACAAGAATGTTCTAATGCTGGAACTCTTCTCATCTACTGATATTTGTAAGAAAAAAACTTAAAGTGTAACTCTGCTGTAATATGACATTTTGATTGAGACACTTTCAGGAAAGAAACTTTTCATTTTCTCTAACAGAAACGAAAGCTAAGGAACCGAAAGCTAAGAACCTTGATGGAAGGAGTCTCAACACTGTTTTCTAACTCCACTCCCCGGGGAAAGCACCATAGAAGACAGCCAGCACTAGTCAAGTTATTAAGTGACTCCAACCAGTGCTATTTTTTTCTTGTAATCTTTGGAAATACTTCGTTTTCTTAGAATTTCATGAGATTATAACATCCTGCAGTTCACTTCCTGAGAGCTTTACTGATTTATCTTCCTAGTCAAACAAAGCAAGTATTGATTCCTGCATTTCTGAAGATCTCAATATCTGGGTTACTGTGGAAGAAATTTTCAGTGAGGTGAGTCCTTTTGCTCTTTTTTGTTGAGAAGATCCAGATACCTCCTTGAAATCCACAAGATACAAAAGGAAAATCGGTATTGGTTCTCCTGGGTGGTGGGGTGAGGGGAATAGGACTGGTATCAACTGTATACAAAAAAAAGTGAAAGCTGCAGTTGCTTGATTCTAATTTTTCACTTAGGAAGATAATAAGCATCTTTTATTCTACCATCACTGATGCCTGAGGAAAGGGAAATGCATTTTGGTGATTGTAGATTTTAAAATAAATTCTCTGAGTATGTATAGACATAAGTTGATATTTATAAGAGAGTTTTGGTTCTCTTGGGAAAAGGAGTATAGAAAACTCGAATAGCTGTGGTGGGGCTTGGGTAAAACACAAGATAGTGGTATAAAAAGTATCATGAAATAATATTAAGTAAAAAAGACATATGGACATAAAGCTGTATTATATGTATTTTCCCAATTTTACAAAGCATGAGAACAAAAACACATACATAGTACAAACATTTTTACAAACACAGTTATTCAAATACATGGTATCTTAATATTTTCATAAGTATGTTTAACTTTTACTTTGGCTCCATCTACACCAGATGTTAGAGGCAGTATTTCAGTCATTTGGGGATTACCATCTGCCATCCTGAAAGTTATTGATTTTTTTCCCCCCTGGTGGCAAGATTTAGGCAGGTGAGTCAAGTAGAAATAGATTTCTATTCAGTACTTTTAGAATTTTTAAAGACTTTCTGAATAGCATGGTACAATAATTCGTGTGTGTTGAATAAATGTGTTAACTTAAATATTGTTTTCAGAATTTTTTGTATGGTAGATAACACCTTGTTAATTAAGCTTATCTATTATGTTGCTCAAATTTCCTAAATCTTTACAGATTCTTTTACCTTGTTCATTTAGTAATTAAAGATTATACTGAAATCTCCTACCATAAAATTGTATTTTTTCCTTGTAGTTCTCTCAAATTCATATATTATACACACACACACATATATAATGCATATTATGTATATATGTGATTATGTGTACATGTATATACATATATATGTATATATGTATTTAAAAATTGTGTATGCATGTGTGTATATATGGAGAGGAATAAACTACATAATACTACTTATAGTACTATGAAAGACTATAAAGTAATAATAAATAATATATATTTATTATTATTAGATAATATATAATTTAAAATGTTGTATCTTCCTAGGAGTTGAACTTTTTATCATGTGGTTTCTAATAATACTTTTTGTCATAAGGTCTATTTAAAGCTACACTAATATAGATCAACTGGCTTTCTTTTGTTTACTCTGCATTATAATGTTTTTGAAATTTTTCCACCTTTACATAATCTTCTGTTAACAACATATAGGTAGATTTTTTTAAAATCAAATTTGATGAAAGTTGTCACCTAACTGGTTAGGACTTTTATGTATATGCTGCTAATTAATATACTCCATGTTACAAAATCACATATTAACATGTAACACTTCTATATTTTCCTCCATGTCTTTCATTTTTTAACTTATACTTCTATCTTATCCTTTAAAAGAAATGCATTAGTGAACTGTCATATTCATTTTCTTTCCTCCTTCCACCATGTTATATACTTCCTGTTTTCTCTTCAATTGGGGCTTTATCTTTAAGACGTAGGCACACTTAAGTTCATTTTTCACTTCTTACCTTTTGGGTTGCAGTGTTTCTTAAGTTTACTTATTGCTTTCTTCTTGGATATTGCTTCCAATAGATGTTTTTGTGTGGATCTTTGTCTTGCAAAACTACCGATTTAAGATAGTGACACAAAAAAAGTATCATAAAATAATATTAAGCAAAAATCTCATCTGGATTTGTGATCCAAATATATTATATTGGATACAATATAACCTTATATTAAAATATATATTATATTATAATATTATATAATTTTCCCCAACTGTAAAAAACATGAGAATAAACTTATTCACATAGTTGAAAATGTCTTAGTTTCACAAACACAATTATTCATATACATGATGTCTCAATATCAATATTTTCATAAGTATATTAAACTTTTACTTTAGCTCCATTCTGCACCAGGCATTAGAGGCAGAATTTCCTTACTTTAGTTCCATTCTACATTAGGCATTAGAGACAGAATATTGAGGTCTTGAATGTCAGAGAATAGTTAGTGAGGCTCTTCTGTTTAAATATCTTTTTGTTCAGTTTAAAACTCTAGTTGCTAAACTATTTTATTACCTCAAGACAGCTTGAGATCACCTCTTCTGTATCTGTGGGGTTAGATATGTTTTGAAGTTCAGAATTTGGAACCTTCAGAAAGACTATGTAATGTGTATATTCTAAGTACTGTATTGCTAGAAACCCCACTGGGATCTGGATCATTACTTCAAAACTGAAAGCACTAATATTTCAGCAACAAAATATACGAATGTTCACATTTAAGTGGAATGAATGACGATTATGCATAGCCGTCCTGCCACCTCACATCTGGTTTAATTTTGCAAATAAATTGTGTTAACACTGACGAAACAAATCAAAACTCTCCATTTTTAAAACTTTTTGAGCTTTGCAATAGATAAGGGATTTTGGACAAGTATTATGTAAAAATTACTCCATTGTCCTGCTGTGGGCAGTTTTGCTATCAATAATCAGTTTCAATCTGATTATTGGATCTTTGTAGGTGAGCCGTTATTTATTTCTGGAGGCTTACAGAGTATGCTTTTTTTTTTTTTTTAATATTCCTCAGTTTCACTATAGTGTGTCTAGTGTGAATTTTTTCTTCAACCTATGGGCTTTTTAAATCTGAGGATTCCCATGTTCTCTCTAAAAGAAAGCAATTGACAGCCTCAGGAATTCGAATATGCTGATTATCCAGAAGGTACACCAAAAGCTACACAAATATATGGTTCCTAAACTAGAAAAATTTATAATTTTAAACAGAAAATTGGAATCCATATCATGCACTGAGTGTCATCAAGGAAGCTCACAAAGTGCTAAAGAGATCCACAGGAGTGACCCTCAGACCATATAGGGACTCTGGAAACTTCTAGAAGACAAAGCCTCAGTTGAGTTTTAAAGGTTATATGGGAGATAGTCAGAGAAAGAATGTGGAAATGACTTTCCAGGCAGTGAGAAGGGAATTCAGAAAAGTCAGAAAACATAGAAAGTCAAGGTGTGTTTTGTATTTCTGAAGGAGCATATAAGAAATACAAAAGTAATAGATGTTAAAAAAATGCCAATTATTCAAGGCCTTCCAAGATATTTAAAGGAGAAAGACACTTTTTAAAAAGAAAATGGGGTGACTGAAGAATATTAGTGAGATAGAAATGTGGCTTATAGAGAGAAAACTGGCTTTATGAACAGAACTGCTTAGAGAAATCAAGTCTGAAAGGAGAAAAGTCAAGCCACTACTGAAACAAATCTAGCCAATAAATGCCGTGACCCTGCACTAGAGAGCCGTAGATGTTCAGCAAAGTGACAGTAATACGGGCACAGAGGACATAGAGAACATGGTCTAACACCAAGATGCTAATGAGAGCTGATTAGGGAAGAGTCAAGTGGACTAGGGTTAGTATCCCAGCATGGAGCTATTGTGCTGTGGAAAGTTATTCATGTGTAAGGTGAGAGTCTGCAGCCCATTTTACACATAAGCCACTTCAGTCAGAGTGGGTATGGGAGGAGTTATGCCTCCACAGGCACACATTGGGGAATAGGCTCCAGTCCCAGCAAAGGATGGGAGGAGGAGCCAGGGACTTTGACACTACACAGCTCACACTCTAAACACTGCAACAGCTGCTTGTTTCCAGACATCTTTCCACCACACCCACCATGATACAACTCAACTATCATCACTAAAAAGGAAGAATTTCTTAGAAGTTCCTAATGTGGCAGTTCATGACCCATTTTCCATAGTAACGCATCTGGTAATTTAGTCTTCTTTTCATACACACAGCAGTGAACAACACCCTGACGTGGCCACTCACTCACATAGGCAAAACCAGTCTTTTAAATTCTCTGAATAAATGTGCAATACTGTGTGCCATTGTTCTTTTGTAGGCTCACCCGTATCTTTAAAGATGTTGAAAGAATACAAGAAAATTGTCCTGCTGAAAGGATTAGAGTGCCTCGATGAATATAATTTTCGCTTGGTTAAGTCTTTACTGGCCCATGATTTACAACTGACTAGAAAAATGCAGGATGAATATGACAAAATTATGATTGCTGACTTGATGGAAGAAACGTTCCGAGTTGATGCCGGTCTGAACAAACTAATAGAATTTCTCAAAGACATACCACAATTTAGAAACCTTGCTAAAAAACTTCAAAGAGAGAAGTTAAAAGGTAATAGAGACTGACTCCCACTCTCTCTGCATCCTCTTGAGTCTTGAGTAGAGCCTTGACTTGGTCAAAGTTGACACATCCCTTTTCCAGTTTAATCTCAGTAGCCATGACAATCGTGGTACATCAGATGTCAACAAGTTGACTACTTAGAGAACTTATTTTCTCTGGAGAGATCTGATGTATTTTGGAGGGTATATTCTGGTGGTAGAGGTAAAGAAAAAAAGCATAAGAATTGGTGAGAGAGACTGGGGTTCCCATACATTAGAAAGATTTTTAAAAATGACAAAATAAAATTAGAAAAAATTGTGCATTGAAAAAATATTTAAACCAATTAATATTACTGCTCTACTAGGATAATTTTTCTAGTAACAAATATGAAGTAGTACTTAAATAAAAACCTGCCTCTCAGAGATGTGAAGAACTTGTGGCTTGTAAAATCTAGTTAAAATACACACACACACACACACACACATATTTAAGAGTTCAAAGTCCAATATCACCACTTGATCACATAACAAATCATATCATATTTTTTTTCTCTAGTTTCTGTAATTTGGGCAGATCTTTTACAGAAGATGACCCACCATCAGCATCATGAAAACTTCAGATTCTTAAATTAACAATACACTATAAAAGGATTGGAAAAGGATTTGACTGAGATCCATGGAAGTCCACAGAATGAGAAATATGCGCTAATCGCACAAGGAAAGAGTAAAGAAAGCACTGAGGAGCATTTGACAGTGCCTGGGCCTGTGTTGTGACTATTGCTCACCTTGCAGCCAGTCTGGGCTAATGCAGTAGAGGTAGATATGGACATAGATAGACCTGCAAGCAGGAGCTGAGAGTATATAGTATTGAAAGTGCTTCAGTTGTCTTAGACCAGCTGTTCTGGGTTTAATGTGTTTTCTTTTACTGTATCAGTTACAAGGAAATTCAAATTGGAAGGAAAAACTACAGTGAAAAAAAGCAAGCAGGATAAACCCAGTACTGCCAAATCTGTATCCACCACAAATAAAGCCTTGGAACCTGAGTCAATCAAGGATACATCTGTGTTGAAAGTAGGTTGGCCAAGATCCCACTGACAAAGCTTCTACTATGGCTCTTCCAACTTACTCCCTTCTTATGAGCACTTAGTTCTTTATTCATTCCAGGGACCTAGTGAAAATGAAGTTCAGATTCAGCAAATTAAAAAGTTTCTATTAACCCATTTTGTTTTAGAACTACTTCACACTTTAACTTACATAATATAATTCCCTATGATGGAAATATGAAATCATCATAACTCTTTTAGATATGTGCCATAATGGAAGTCACTTTAAAGAAATGGCTTGCCAAATCCTATTCAAAGAGACTAAGTTCAAACTTGGATTTTCTAAATCTGAATCTACTACTCTTCCCATCACCACAGAGATGAATAAAGAAGTGGCATGTCTAAAATTTCTTCTCCTATTTGTATAAAACAGTCATACAAGGGTACTTCAGAAAGTTTGTGGAAAAATGAAATTAAAAGAAACAGTGAATCTTTCCCTGAACTTTTTGAAGACCCCTCATATATGCCCAGTGCTTACCTTCTGTCTATGTCTTCAGAGGATGGACTGTTACCACCTGCAGTTCTGAAGGACATAACTGTTAGTATAATTAGAATCCAGAAATGAGAAATCAGTTTACTTAGTATTAAATATGTGGTTCATCTAATATTAGAAACCATTAACCAGACAAAAAAGGGGGGGGGGGAAATCCCCTTTTTTTCAGAAAAAGAAAAATAAAACCTCAAAAACTGATGACTCCAAGAGGCCGCAGCTAACCAAGAAGAGTCAGTTTCCAGAACCTTCAGCAGCCAGCACACAGCAAACTGAGGGCTGTTCCCAGACTCCTCACATACCTGCACCAACACCATCCGGCAATTCTTCAACCAAGGTACCATCTTCCTGTTCCCAGTACTTGTCCCTCCCTACAACATATTACAAGTATCATCATAACACTGAATGAGCTTCTCACTAATCCCCTGCTATACACAATTTCTTTATATAATTAAATCATTCAATAATTTATCAAATGAATATATCATGATTTCAATGTATGATAAGCCTTTTGCTATTTACAAGATACACATTTATGAAATAATTCTTGATCTCAACTGGGTTGCTGTCTTGTGTTAGTCCAGGAGTAGAGGAGTGGGCATCCAGACAGGCGGAGATGAATCTGAGTGTGTTCATCCCCTATATTCTGATTTCTTTTTGCCCTTTTCCCTTTTGCTTACTGACCATACTTCTGGGTTTCCTTTCAGCATTCTGTGCTCCTTCCCATGTCAGATGCTTTGACATATGCTGTTTCATTGGTTTGGAATTCACTATTGTTGTCTCTTCACTGGTCCAAATATATCTAACCTTTAAGTGCCAGCCTGAATCCCCTCCTTAGGCAAGTCTTCACTGATCCTTCCCTTCCAAAAGAGATCCTTCACAGGGCCTTTTACTATTCCTTTAGGGCATTTATTATTACTGTGATAAATGGATGTCTTTCTACTCTGTAGACAATAAGTTCATACCATAGGTACACTGGTGCAGGGGAAGAGAAGACAAGAGTAGAAAAAGAGAATTGGCACCTGTATGTGTCTACTTTTATCACGATCCTTTTATTTTGCCCCTTTTATTCTGCCCTGGTATGGCCCCTGTGGTTACTTGCAACCTGGGGCTATGAAGACTGTATCTGAGGTGAATGAGCAGGGAAATATTGCTGAAAGCAACATGAGGAGAAGGCAAGAGCACAATTTCAATCACTGTTCTCTAATATAGTTTCTAACTCAGGACCCACGCTTATTCGGACCCACACTACATCCTTACCACATGTACCAGTTGAAGACAGACTTCCTACATAAGAGACCCTCATTTTTTAATTTTGTTTCCTGTTATTATTGTTGTTAGTTCTAAGAATCCATATTTTCTCCAATAATCTCTTCTAAAAGTTCAGATAGATGATTTTTTAGAAGCTTGGTAAACAGATGTCAGGAACCAATTTGGTATATTTTCTTGATGAGAAAGGTGTAGCTAAACTGTCTCATAATTGAGACTGACTTTCTTCTCAGATTTGCTTCTCTTACTACCTGGGAGAGACATTTACTAAAATATAATCCTGAGCGCTGTGCTTGACCAAGTTGGCTTAGGCCAGTATGCAGCAGATATAGAAAGGTGTTGTGCTCTGTGTTGACTTTGAAAATCACTAACCAGAAATAAGAAAAAAAAAGTCTGTTTTTTTCCAGAAAAGGAAAAATGTAACCAGCAAAACTGAGGACACAAAAAGGAAGATGCTTTCCCAGGAAATGAGCTGGCATTCAGAAACTTCAGCTACCAGCATTTGCCCTGCTGAGAGTCCCCCTCAGACTGCTCACCTGCCTCCACCAGCCCCATCCAGCTGTTCCTCAACCAAGGTACCAGCTTCCTGTACCCACTCTTTTTACCTCCTTAACGTAATTACAATGGTTGTCATGATCTGGGAAGAGCTTCTCATCTAACTTCCCACTACACACAATTTATTTTTTTATACTTATTTTTATACAATTTATTTTTGTACAATTCTCATCTAATTTCCCACTATGTACAATTTATTCATTTAATGTAATCATACAATCATTTATCAGGTATGCATTTTGAGATCTTACTAGATTTTAACTCCTTTGCTGTTTACAAGGCACATGTTTATGAAATAACCTCTGATTTCAAAAGGGCTTCCACATGAGGTTAGACTGGGGCGGTGTGGCGGGGAAGGGGGGAAGATGATGAGACAAGAAGAAATGAATATGAGTGGGTTCATCCCCTCCATTCCAATTTCCTTCCAACCTTTCCCCCTTTTCTCTGACTGCACTTCAGGATTCATTGTCAACATTCCATGCTCATTTCCAAGTCAGATATTTTGACATTTGCTCTTTTTCATTTGGAATCATTTTTCTTAATTCACTACTGTTTCAAATATGTTCAACCTTCAGGTGCAAGCTTGTATATCTTGCTCAGGCATGTCCTCATTTATATCTCCCTTCAAGAATATATCAGATATTTCCATCGTTTGATTTCAAGGGTCCCTTTATATTTCTTTTTCAGCAGTTATCACAGCTGCAATATATGTATGTCTTCCTAAATAGGCAGTGAGCTCAGATTATTTGTACCCCATCCAAGGAGAACAGAAGACAGATGTGGAAGAGTGAGTGCATGCCTGTAGGCATCTTTGATCCCAGCCTGCCCTGTAGGCATCTTCTATTCCAGCCTGCCCTTTGTTCTGCCCTGGTATGACCCATGTGGTTGCCTGCACTCAGAGCTGAAATGCCTATGCCTGCTGTGATTAGGCAGGAAACTTGAGGAATAGGCCAAAGCAGCATTTACATCAGTATTCTCTAATTTAATTTCTCACCCAAGGCCCAAACTGCCCACTTAGCTAGACTTTATCTGCTGTGATTAGGCAGGAAACTTGAGGAATAGGCCAAAGCAGCATTTAAATCAGTATTCTCTAATTTAATTTCTCACCCAAGGCCCAAACTGCCCACTTAGCTAGACTTTACCTCCACCACCATCCCAAACATAAGAGTTGAAGATAGAATTCCTGTATACAAGGTTTCTCTAGTTATGTTTTATTGTTGTTATTATCTGCTCCAATAATTTGTAATTCCCTGTATAATCTTTATGTATACAGGCTTGGAAGTGACATTTTCTAAGGTCCCATCTGCCTAAATATGTGACAAAGTCATTTCTATTCACACAGAAATCATTCTACTTGCCCTGAGCATGCTGGAGCACAGGATCCAAGGGAGACTCATCTGCTTCCTTGGCCTCATACACCTAAACACACCATACAGCCATTTCTTCTTTGGGACTCAGCCACTTTCATAGAATTCTTACAAACAAAGGTCCCTGACCACTTTATGACCCACTACATGGGCAGGAAAGCCTTGCTCATATGCATCGTGGGATGTTCCAACTATGTTGTCTTTGATGTCTGCATACAAACCGAGAAGAAGACCAATGTTATCTCTAATTCATGCTGCTATGTCTCCCTCCCCTGAAGCAAATAGCACAGACTGGCATGATTCATGAGCAGGGTGCTATGGTTAAGGGCTTAATCTTAGAGTAAAAAGTCAACAACTATTTTTAAATATTATCCAAACAGATAGTATAGTTTAGGCATCAAAAATCCTACTATTGTGATAAAAGATTTTGGCTTAATTGATTTTGAAAAATGCACAAGATGCTCTTATCAGTGATGTTAAAATACAACATGTAGCAGAAGTGAATACTACATGTGGCAGAAGCTTCTCTAATAAAGTGCTTCCCATACTATTTCTATCTGGGATTTCCTTCAAGAAGGTCAACATAAAGCATGGAACACGTGTGGATGAGAGCAGAAATACAGACCCCCTTCGCAGATCTTAAAATAACAAGGACCATATTGCTATTTCTGTGTATTGAGCATTTAGTGGTGCTGGAGTTCTTTATGGTCCTGTGTTCTTTATGTACATTACCTCATTTATTCTTCATAACACCACGTGAGAATGCTATTCTTAGTCCTGCTGCACTTATGAGAAAACTGAGGTTTATAGACATTAAAATCTTCTCCAAGATCACACAGATAGTGAATGTTAAAACCAGGATTCAAATTCAGCATTATTGAACTCCAAAACTTAAGCATCTAATGGCATATAGTGCCTCCAGAGTCTCAGTAAGGATGTTACAATGTCTATAATTTATTTTTGTTCTTAAAATTTATGAATAGACAGTGTTATGTTCCAGGTTTGTTTCCACAGCCAGGTCCTGCAGGCCTTCTAATGATGGCTTTCTAATGATGGCACGAGTGGCCAGAGGGTGTTCTACTCAGGAAGCCACACACCAGAGGCAGGTGTTTCAAGCGGCTTTTTCATCCACAACTCTATCAACAAGTGGCACCTTATGAACTAGATAAATAAATGCCATAAGTGGTAAGAACTATGGCAAACTGATATTGGATATAGAATGCTAGAAACGGGCTTCCATTACTAAAATTATAGATAGTCCAGATAAATGGTTTTACAGACACTCCCTGCTCTTACTTAAACAAAGTATAAAAATCCTGGTACTGGGAATGACCTGGGCAATATCTGAATGAGTTTGATTATTGTTGAGAATGCTGAAGGATTTAGTTGCCTGATGCAGAAGACAAGGGGAGCAGAATCCTGCCCCTGGAATTTTGAATTTGAGAGAATCTCTCCAGCACAGCATTCAAATAGATGGAGCGCTGGGTTTCCTGGACCTAAAAAGCAGGTAATAGAAACTGATTCCCTTATTTGGCTGTCACTCATTTTTATTAAGTGTATTTTTTGAGATACTACCGTAAGTTAGAATTCTAACTCTTATGCTCCCTTCCATTAGGATGCTCTATGACAGTGAGCACCTAATCATCCCTATTTTGTAAGGGGTATATTTAGGCATTTGATTGTTTAATTTTATTTTTGTGTTCTGGTTTGCATTTTTGTTTTTCTGTTAGTACACCATGAAAGCCATACTTTAGAGTAGAACAGGGTGGAGAAATACCAGAACATGATCACCAGTTCTTTCTCTTTCATTTTTTATAACACAAAAAATGTCATCTTAGAAAACTTAAGAAAAGCAGGTATATAGGCAAAAATAATCAAATTTCAACTATCTGAAGTCTTTCCTTTATCAACACCACATTTTGGTGTATAGTCTTTCTGACTTTACCTTTTGTTATGAATATACAGAGAGTATAGTTTTCTCCCAGATTGCATCACATTATACTTTTTTTTCCTATAATTCAAAGTTTTAAAAATCATTTAATATATCTTGAACTGCCATTCAATCAACCAATGTAGATTTAAATTATTCTTTTATTGCAACATAGTTGATTGTACATATCTGTGGGATACAGTTGAATATCGATACCTGTGTGCAATGTGTGTTGCTCAAATCAGGATAATTAATATATTCAACAGTATACAATGTAATGGTTTTTCATAGCCCTTTACCAATTCTTCCCTTTCCTTACCACCCTTCCCCCTTTCCCATCTCTGGTAACCTCAGTTATGTTCTCTCCTTTTGAAAGTCCAACATATTATTGTGATTGTTGTATCTTTCTTTCATTTGTTTTTTTAGCTCCCACTTACTTTATTGCACAAGAAAAATTGTATGGTTATTCTGTTTATTATAAAAATGATCTTATATTATTTGGCTTTAGATTATTTCCACTATTCTCTATACCTGCAATAAACATAGGAAGAACATATATCCCTCAGGTTTCCTTCATTACCCTCAGAGTAGTTGTATAATTCCTTTTTTAAATCCTGTGAATTTTTTGTCAGGGTGCTAATGTCACCACTGTTGTGAGGTTCTTTGTTACTGATTAACTTTCATTGGGGACCTGCTTTCTGATATAAAAGAGAATCAGCCACATTGATGAGAAGCCAATCAGAGTTAAGCCCCATCACCCACAGGTATAATTTTTCAGGTTAGATCACACTGAGCACCACTGGTCTGTGGAAGCAGCTGGTCTGGCTTCATGCACTGGTCACTGAGACTCCCATGGTCGACCTCTGCCTCCATCTTTCTTCTCTAGATCAGCAGCATCCCCTCCAAATAGGAGTGCTCTCCTGAAACTCAGAAATAGTGCAGGACACTGGAAAGACAGGGGGTCAGAGAAAAGTGCCCTTGCATCTAGCTCTTCCAATTTTATGTATCTCCTCAAAGCCTGCCATTGTTCCAACTGGAGAGCCTCTAGCCTGAATCCCTTAAAATTAGGGAAGCTCATGAGGTTCTTCCAGTGGTGGTCATACTATCCCTTTTGTAACACAGCACTGGTTTATTGTTTTGGTCTTTAAAATGCCCCTATCTACTAGGGTTAGTTACATCTGGAATCCTATGAAATCTATAGTTTGTGGTTGAGACCATTCCTCATTCTCAGTACTATTAAGAGTGATTTATTTTCTTCTCTATTTCTGTCTTATTTGGTCACTAAAGTGAGCAGGAAGGAGTAAAATTGAGATTCTCTTTTCATTCTCAACTCTCTTGGGAGTCTCTTATCACAGCATTGCCTTCACCCTTTGCCTCTGCATAGCCCTTGCTAGGAGATGCATCTTTTATCCCTGGATTAATCCTCATTAAAGAAAAATTATTCTTTCTTCCACACTCATAAAACAATAAAAAAGAAAATTACTCCTTAAATCTTCTCCATTTCTTCCATTAGCTAAATTATACCATCTTTGTCTAGGTTTTCCCCAATTCCACCCACTTAAGGTGATCCTTGAGGATCAACACAGAGCCCGGGATGACTCTTAGTAGAGAGTGAACTTGTATTCCCTGTCTTAATTGTGCCTGTGCTTTGGTGTGTTCATTCTAAATAGAAACCAAGATTGAAGACTGTACCTAAAGAAGCTTCCAAAGAAGATGGCTACCAGAGTGGCCCCAAAGAAGTGATGGTGCTCAAAGCAACAGAACCATTTGTGTATGAGTCTCATGTCTCAGAGATGGAGACATGTCTCAGAGATGGAGAGAGAAAGATGTTTCATGCCACAGTAGCTACTGAGAGTGAATTCTTCCAAGTGAAGGTTTTTAACACCAACCTGAAGGAGATGTTCACCCCAAAGAAGGTCATTGCCATATCAGATTATTTTGGCCGCAATGGGTTCCTGGAGGTATACAGTGCCTCATTTGTATCTGAAGTGAATGCTGACCGAAAGATGGAGATCTCAAGCAGACTGATTAAAAATGCCAATGCAACTCCCAAAATCAATCATCTTTGCTCTCAAACTAAAGAAAAATTTGTGAATGGGGTGTTTATGGTACATAAGGTAAGCCCACAGCATTGTTTGGTAAAATTTCTTCTGCAACCCCAGATTTTAAAACTCTTAACTTGCCAACTGGAGTTTGGTCAACCTACTGAAGACAGGAAATCAAGGTTCCCCTGACCAAGGATAGTTGGGTGAAATCTTCCACTTCAGGACGTGGAATAGGTAATCTCTGAACATTCCTCTTTTCAAGGTATTACTAGGCAAGTTCTTTAGAAAATGATTCACCAGGAAACTTGGCATATTATCAGCTGTGATGATCCATTCACAGCCACCCTGGCCCAGGAGAGTGCAGACTTTATATTAACACATATATCCCTAGAATTTTATTTTTTAAGTTCTTCTCCATCTGTATCAATGAACAACTTAATTTAATTGTGAATAAAAGATCCTTTCCAAGTCTGGATCCTGGTTGTGACAACCAGAGTAAGAAATCAGATAGAATACTCTTCCCTAGAATGCAGCTATGTCCAGCAGTTCGCTGGGATTCTGATCATCTGGACTCTAAAGTGCTCTCACCTCTTCCCATTCAGTCATTCACCAAAATGTTGTTGAACAACTGACTTCTGCATTAAATAGTAAGAGAAATATGGAAGTAAAAAGACTAGAGAAATCATGTTGTTTAATCCTTTATAAATTGGCAATATGGATAATAAAATGCATAGAAGTTTGGTAAATTCTTAGACAATAGGTATGTCTTTCAGTCCCAACACACCATTGAAAATGCTATGCTTTTCTGTCCTAACTTCTTTTTTAAAGTATTCTTTCACACTCCATTGTATATGTCTTCTAGGGTGGCTCTTTCCTTTTTCCTGTGCTGTTTCTGTACACTCTGTTTAAATGGCTGTACATAAACAAGGAGGTCTCCAAAAAGTTCATGGAAAGATTTGTATTATCTTGTAATTCAACTTTTACATGAAATTTTTGACATACCCTTGTATATGCTGTTATAGAACAATGAATAAAGTAAGTGAGAAAGTAAATGGAACAATGGGATTAGATGATCTAGATTCAAGATTTGGGCAGATTGGAGAAGACGGAATACAGAAGATAGAAGGAAAAATTACGAATTGAGATAACATAACCCACTTAATGAAGACTTGCAATAGTCTTTCTCAGACTCATAGTAAGCCATGAATGGCATTTATTTTCTGTTCTTGAGCAGGTATCAAAGAAAGGTACCAAGGTAATCAGATTTCTCTGTATGCAATCTCTTTAGGAAATCTCAGCTTCACTCATGTAAAAGCAGAAAAAAATTAGGAAAGTGATCAATTTTTCTAGAAAAATTCAGCAGAGTAAGACCTTAAACAAGGAAGACTCAATAGAGGATTCAAAAAGGAGGATTTTCTGACCAGGACTATCTTAAGCTATTTGGTACCTGTAATTCTGGACTTACAGCTCTATTTACCCTGACAGAGAAAAAAGTTTCTATTAGTACTGTGTATTTCTCACGGAAGCGAAAATTCCTGATCCGGTTCTCAGAAGATGAATGATCATTTTCTTTTGCAGAAAAATGTGAGAGAAGAATGCACTTTTTACGAAATACAAGATAATACAGGGAAGATGGAGGTGGTGGTGTACGGACGACTGACCAGCGTCAACTGTGAGGAAGGCGATAAACTTAAACTCATCTGCTTTGAATTGGCATTGAGTGTGGATAAGTGGCAGCTGAGATCTGTGATTCACAGTTACATGAAGGTGGGAACTCCATGGGAGCATCATTCTTCCAAAGTGGAAAATTATTTTGTTTATACTTTAAGGGAACTATACTACTGCTATTACACAGAGAGTTCAGCTGATAGAAAAAGAACCAAGCCTTGCTTTTTAGTGTGTGTAAACTTTCTTTCCATCATTTTTTAAAAAGATACTTTTAATTATAGTGAAGAAAGAAAATTTCAAGAGACTTTCAAATGATATCACATGTAAGCTAAACAATAAAGAATTGATTGAATTTATCAAAGCAGGGAGTTAATTTAATAAGAATTTTGATTTGATTAAGGCACATTTGTTTCAAATCCTAGCTCTGTGATTTTCTAGTTGACTAAAGACTTAAACCCTAGGAAGTTTATGTTCATCATCTGTAAATTAGGGAAAATATTTTCTACCACAGAAGGTTGTCAACATAGCTCATAACAGACCTGAATTACTAGGGATGTCCCTGAGCAAAACAGAACAGAGAGGTACATGCCTTTAGTAAAATACAGCAGACAGAGGCAGTTGAATCTAGATGACAAAGTTCATGCTCTTTGTCACACTGACACATACATTCTTTTGGGAATCTTCAAACACTAAGCTAAAATTGGAATGCAAAAAGATCAACTACAAAGGCTGACCTATCTAGGCACACAGAAGTGCACATGCTCTTAGATCTCTTCAGTTCTCAAAGCCATCAGTCAAACATTCCAAACCTTCCTTCACAAGAACTGCACCAGAATTCCTTCACAAGAACTGCACCAGAATTCCTTCACAAGAATTGCACCAGAATTCCTTCACAAGAATCTTTCTGCCCAATGAGGACCTTCCCCTCAACTGCTGGCGTGGGGTACACCAACTCCTTCCTCTCTCCTGTTGTTCTTGACATCTGCTCTTCCACATGTGCTTATGCTGGGTAGAATTGAGTATATGATTTCATGGTCCCAGCAAAACAGGCAGGGGTACATAAAGGACAGGAATTCTTTAAAAGAGATATAGATTGAGAAAAAAGTACTTTTGAAGAAAATAGGGAAAAAGATGTGATCCCTGGGGAGGAGACATAGTATGAGTGAAGGAAGAAATGTATGGCCACCTGCATCTCAACTGGTCTATCTTTATCTCTTTCTTCAAGGTCATCAAGGCCAAGAAAAGCCAGAAATAATTACTCGATTTTGATTCAGATATGGAAACTTCACTAGAGCCCTCCTTCTAAAAACCTGGATGCCACTGATAATGGTGTTTGTAGAGATAAGATCTAAGTACAGAGAAAAAAATGGGTGTGTATATGTACACGTTTATACATATATATACCTGGTTGAAATACAATATACAGCAGCTATTAATTCTAGGGAATGTTTTGTTAGGGGTGTTTTTTGTTTTATTCTTTATACTTTTTTATATTTTCTAAATGCCATATTTTGCATCTATAATCTTTATAGTTTATCAATAATAATAAACATCATTTTTTAAAAAGGAGTGCTTCTCCAGGAGTCTTTTTAATCTATTCCTAAGTTGCTTAGAAGCAAATAATGTGTGGCCTGAAATCAGGGTGGGGCGCAAGGGCCTCAAACAATGTTTGGATTTATACTTTGTGTGTGATCTTTAAGGATAAAGCCCTGGTCAAGAATGAACAGGCTGTGCCTTGCTCAAAAAAACCCAGGCTGAGGTGGCAGGTAGGGGCTGAAATCCAACCTTTGCTTTAATTGTCAATCCCTATGTTTGGGAAGCAGTTGCATTAGCCTAGAATAAAGGATATCTTTTCAGAATTGGTCTCCCGGAGCTGGCATAATTAATTGAGTGATTTTTCTGCCAAATGAAGTGCCTTCTAGTTATTTGNTGTATCAATGAACAACTTAATTTAATTGTGAATAAAAGATCCTTTCCAAGTCTGGATCCTGGTTGTGACAACCAGAGTAAGAAATCAGATAGAATACTCTTCCCTAGAATGCAGCTATGTCCAGCAGTTCGCTGGGATTCTGATCATCTGGACTCTAAAGTGCTCTCACCTCTTCCCATTCAGTCATTCACCAAAATGTTGTTGAACAACTGACTTCTGCATTAAATAGTAAGAGAAATATGGAAGTAAAAAGACTAGAGAAATCATGTTGTTTAATCCTTTATAAATTGGCAATATGGATAATAAAATGCATAGAAGTTTGGTAAATTCTTAGACAATAGGTATGTCTTTCAGTCCCAACACACCATTGAAAATGCTATGCTTTTCTGTCCTAACTTCTTTTTTAAAGTATTCTTTCACACTCCATTGTATATGTCTTCTAGGGTGGCTCTTTCCTTTTTCCTGTGCTGTTTCTGTACACTCTGTTTAAATGGCTGTACATAAACAAGGAGGTCTCCAAAAAGTTCATGGAAAGATTTGTATTATCTTGTAATTCAACTTTTACATGAAATTTTTGACATACCCTTGTATATGCTGTTATAGAACAATGAATAAAGTAAGTGAGAAAGTAAATGGAACAATGGGATTAGATGATCTAGATTCAAGATTTGGGCAGATTGGAGAAGACTGAATACAGAAGATAGAAGGAAAAATTACGAATTGAGATAACATAACCCACTTAATGAAGACTTGCAATAGTCTTTCTCAGACTCATAGTAAGCCATGAATGGCATTTATTTTCTGTTCTTGAGCAGGTATCAAAGAAAGGTACCAAGGTAATCAGATTTCTCTGTATGCAATCTCTTTAGGAAATCTCAGCTTCACTCATGTAAAAGCAGAAAAAAATTAGGAAAGTGATCAATTTTTCTAGAAAAATTCAGCAGAGTAAGACCTTAAACAAGGAAGACTCAATAGAGGATTCAAAAAGGAGGATTTTCTGACCAGGACTATCTTAAGCTATTTGGTACCTGTAATTCTGGACTTACAGCTCTATTTACCCTGACAGAGAAAAAAGTTTCTATTAGTACTGTGTATTTCTCACGGAAGCGAAAATTCCTGATCCGGTTCTCAGAAGATGAATGATCATTTTCTTTTGCAGAAAAATGTGAGAGAAGAATGCACTTTTTACGAAATACAAGATAATACAGGGAAGATGGAGGTGGTGGTGTACGGACGACTGACCAGCGTCAACTGTGAGGAAGGCGATAAACTTAAACTCATCTGCTTTGAATTGGCATTGAGTGTGGATAAGTGGCAGCTGAGATCTGTGATTCACAGTTACATGAAGGTGGGAACTCCATGGGAGCATCATTCTTCCAAAGTGGAAAATTATTTTGTTTATACTTTAAGGGAACTATACTACTGCTATTACACAGAGAGTTCAGCTGATAGAAAAAGAACCAAGCCTTGCTTTTTAGTGTGTGTAAACTTTCTTTCCATCATTTTTTAAAAAGATACTTTTAATTATAGTGAAGAAAGAAAATTTCAAGAGACTTTCAAATGATATCACATGTAAGCTAAACAATAAAGAATTGATTGAATTTATCAAAGCAGGGAGTTAATTTAATAAGAATTTTGATTTGATTAAGGCACATTTGTTTCAAATCCTAGCTCTGTGATTTTCTAGTTGACTAAAGACTTAAACCCTAGGAAGTTTATGTTCATCATCTGTAAATTAGGGAAAATATTTTCTACCACAGAAGGTTGTCAACATAGCTCATAACAGACCTGAATTACTAGGGATGTCCCTGAGCAAAACAGAACAGAGAGGTACATGCCTTTAGTAAAATACAGCAGACAGAGGCAGTTGAATCTAGATGACAAAGTTCATGCTCTTTGTCACACTGACACATACATTCTTTTGGGAATCTTCAAACACTAAGCTAGAATTGGAATGCAAAAAGATCAACTACAAAGGCTGACCTATCTAGGCACACAGAAGTGCACATGCTCTTAGATCTCTTCAGTTCTCAAAGCCATCAGTCAAACATTCCAAACCTTCCTTCACAAGAACTGCACCAGAATTCCTTCACAAGAACTGCACCAGAATTCCTTCACAAGAATTGCACCAGAATTCCTTCACAAGAATCTTTCTGCCCAATGAGGACCTTCCCCTCAACTGCTGGCGTGGGGTACACCAACTCCTTCCTCTCTCCTGTTGTTCTTGACATCTGCTCTTCCACATGTGCTTATGCTGGGTAGAATTGAGTATATGATTTCATGGTCCCAGCAAAACAGGCAGGGGTACATAAAGGACAGGAATTCTTTAAAAGAGATATAGATTGAGAAAAAAGTACTTTTGAAGAAAATAGGGAAAAAGATGTGATCCCTGGGGAGGAGACATAGTATGAGTGAAGGAAGAAATGTATGGCCACCTGCATCTCAACTGGTCTATCTTTATCTCTTTCTTCAAGGTCATCAAGGCCAAGAAAAGCCAGAAATAATTACTCGATTTTGATTCAGATATGGAAACTTCACTAGAGCCCTCCTTCTAAAAACCTGGATGCCACTGATAATGGTGTTTGTAGAGATAAGATCTAAGTACAGAGAAAAAAATGGGTGTGTATACATACCTGGTTGAAATACAATATACAGCAGCTATTAATTCTAGGGAATGTTTTGTTAGGGGTGTTTTTTGTTTTATTCTTTATACTTTTTTATATTTTCTAAATGCCATATTTTGCATCTATAATCTTTATAGTTTATCAATAATAATAAACATCATTTTTGTACACGTTTATACATATATATACCTGGTTGAAATACAATATACAGCAGCTATTAATTCTAGGGAATGTTTTGTTAGGGGTGTTTTTTGTTTTATTCTTTATACTTTTTTATATTTTCTAAATGCCATATTTTGCATCTATAATCTTTATAGTTTATCAATAATAATAAACATCATTTTTTAAAAAGGAGTGCTTCTCCAGGAGTCTTTTTAATCTATTCCTAAGTTGCTTAGAAGCAAATAATGTGTGGCCTGAAATCAGGGTGGGGCGCAAGGGCCTCAAACAATGTTTGGATTTATACTTTGTGTGTGATCTTTAAGGATAAAGCCCTGGTCAAGAATGAACAGGCTGTGCCTTGCTCAAAAAAACCCAGGCTGAGGTGGCAGGTAGGGGCTGAAATCCAACCTTTGCTTTAATTGTCAATCCCTATGTTTGGGAAGCAGTTGCATTAGCCTAGAATAAAGGATATCTTTTCAGAATTGGTCTCCCGGAGCTGGCATAATTAATTGAGTGATTTTTCTGCCAAATGAAGTGCCTTCTAGTTATTTGCAAGAAGGCACTAGTATATGTTAGAAGAATTTCTGGCCCTGTCTGATGTGAAATATCTGTTCACTTTTCAGAATTGGTCTCCCGGAGCTGGCATAATTAATTGAGTGATTTTTCTGCCAAATGAAGTGCCTTCTAGTTATTTTCAAGAAGGCACTAGTATATGTTAGAAGAATTTCTGGCCCTGTCTGATGTGAAATATCTGTTCCCAGTCACTTACACAAGTTCCAACAGCTCCTTAGCAGCTCACCAACCATATTTCCTGGTTCTTGCATTCCACACAGATAGATCAGTCAGAAAGTTTCCACACATAGACCTGCATTAGTTAAACACTGAAGATAATTAATTGTCTTTAGAGTAGAATAGCAGAAAGTAGATACCCAGAAATGAAATTTATTGTCATATTTATTGATCACATATTTGGCACCCAATATTTTGCAATTATTTTGTGTCACTTAATCTTCATATTAGCTTTAGAAGGTTGATAGTTTTCTCCTTTTTACTCTACCTATAATATATGAAAAATCAGAAACAGAAAGGCAAAATCATTTTTCTAATGACCCTTAGACAGTAAATTATAGAACTTGATTTAGAATCCAGCTGTAGTTTCAGTTTGGAGAAGGTACATTAGAGGGTAGAATATGGTGATGAGCAGGAAATTATGAGCGACAAAATGGAGACGTCTGCTACTGTGAGGGTTCAAGGCTACTTATGCCCAAGTAATCTAAGGAAAAGAAGAATTAAAGTTCTACCATTATGATCTGGAGCCAAAGATCAAAAGAATAACATTGTATGGTTTTACCTTACACTGCCTCCTTTCTGATTATGTGTATTTTATTTTAGCAGTCTCACATGCCAATTAGACATTTTTATATTTCCTTAACGAATATTATTCTAAAAAAAATGAGGAAACTGAAGTTCAGGTGATTGAGTGAAGCAGTAAGAATGACATCATTTAGCTAGTTAGTTACAGATTCCATCCTGAGATGTCACAGACTGCTAACACTTCCTCTAAATTCAAATTTTACTTATGCACACTAAGGAAAAGAACTTCTTCATACACAAATGATGTTTGTATTGTGAGCTATTCTAACACCTCATATTCACAATACTTTATGTAAACTTTCTGTAATTGTCTGTTCTTGAGTAGGCAGATAATGGCGATGACGAGTTATACAACCGACCTACCCTATTAATGTCTTTGCTTTCCTTGACATCATGCTAATTCCCTTTTGAACTTGTAACGTCCAAGGACAGTGGTGTCTCTAAATGAGATAAGCAAGAAATGACTTACCCAAAAAAGT